CTAACACTGCCAGGAACTCTTAGCTAGCAACCCAGAAACTGTAGTGCTTTACAGGCAGCATGAGAGCAGAGTGATGTCCTGCCCTTAGATAAACAAGCTCCAAATCTTTGATTCCTGAGCAATCAATAGAGATCAACATTTCAATTGTGGCACATCCACCAAGCACTGAGCACTGAGCTTCAGTGTCCCACACCATGCTAGGAAGGCTGTGTTTAAATTACCCCAGCAGACAGTCAGCAGCTGCACTGCAGTCACAATGGTTTGGGACACAAGGGAGAGGCAGTGAGACGCTGCCTCGCCTCACCAGCACCCCTGCTTTAAACAGCAGAGGGTTTCATACTTCTGAAACCACCTGGAAGAACCCCAGAAAACACTCGCTGCATTGGTGCACACATATTACGTGTCCTTGCAAAGGAGGATCACAAAACTAGCTCAACACTGCTCCAACTAGCTGCAGGCAACAGGCACCTGCTTATGAGCCTCAATTGAGCTTCTGAGCTGGATTTCAAACACCTCTTGCACCTTGTTATGGCACAGGCTGGAGAACAGTTCCTCCGCTCTGCTGCCAGTGAGCACCATGCCTGATCCGTGGGATCCAGACGACACGCACGTTGTGCTGCCCTGCTGCTCCCATGCTGTGCTGTGCCCACGCCACCCCGCAGGACTCACCCCTGGCAGCCCCAGCACAGCAGGGCCTGGTGACACACCACCATGATCCAGTTACTGAGCTGCAGACAGGCTTCCCTCAGTCAGAATGCCTCTTCCGCTATCTGGTGCTGTGTATGTGTGTATTGCTCCCCAGTGATGTAAACAGAAAGGCATGCAGAGCAGTGGGCGACATGTAAATTCGGCTGGAAAATCCCACAGCTCAGCCAATCCTCGTGCTGCCCTGCGCTGCTCACAGACCAGAGGGGTTAAGCAAAAACAACCTGAGCACGCACTGCTTTATGCCTCCAACCTGAGAAATCCGCAGAAACAGGATCATCCACTATTCACACTGAAGGGAGTTTGAGTGTCTCGACCTCTTGAGGTAGTTCTCAAACTTCATAATACTGAATATTGAGCAGCCCAACAAAGAGTGACATACTCTGTGCTTGCAGAGACGCTCCAGGGAAAACCAGATAACTAAGTTAACTCATTAGCACAGAAAGGAAGAGCCCTGAGGATGGGGGTCCATGGCACAACAGCTTCCTCCAGGCAGCTGCTATGTCCCCAGCCAGCCCCAGGGCAGGGGAACACGGCCAGCACGGACCTCACTGCCCATGGTGAGGGAGTGCACAGGAGGGATGATAACAGGAATAAAATGGATGGAAGAGATCTGACAGCCTGAGCGTGTTCACATTACTCAAGTGTTTGGTTAGTGAAACCAGGATTTGCTCTCAAGTGCCTTCCTCCTAGCACAGCTGGACTTGGCTTCAGAAAGTGCCAATCTCGGCTACAAGGTGCCTCAGGCTCAGCCAACGCTCAGCCCACGAGGTGACTGCTGAACATCACCCAACTTCAGCCACAACTGCAAAATGTCCAGCACTCAGGACCAGCCCACCCAGAGCTTTCTGTGAGCCAGATTTACTCTGCATTTTCAACCCCACCTGGGACAGAAGCACTCAGGGACACCCCAGGACTCATGGGCACTAAGCTGAGCCCAGATTCTACATGTTCCTGCCTGACTCTTGGGAAACCTCCAAACTCTTTGATTTCCTCTTGCCAGACGTGCAATGAGGACAGCACTTTCTGTTCTTTTTGAACTCATGGTCAGTACCCCCACACAATACACATTTCCCGATCTGCTCCTCTCCTCACACAGCTCCTGCAGCCACCGTGCAAGCAGCCAACCCCGACATTGCCTTCCTCCCTCTGTCAGGGCTTTCACGGCCATCTCTCACACACTGCGACCGAACTGATCACTGCGGCTGTCCGCAGGAACCAGCGGGAGAAATACGGCCAACACGCAACAGCTGTTTCACAGGAGCTCGCTGCTTAGGGCATGCTGCAATACCTCGCTGCGGGGAAACGAAGAGGCACAATCAGCCTGCCGGGGCTGGAGCAAAGAATTGCCTCCCATTGCCAGGCGCGAGGCAGAGGTGCCCAGAACCTCCTCCGAGGGCAGCACAGCGCTCAGCCCGGCCTGCTGCCCCCAGCCCACACCCCGCTCTCGTACCATGCTTCTCCTCGGCTCCAGCAGAGCCTGAGCCGCCGTCTCTGACGTTACGGGACAGCCACGGGTCTGGAAGGCGCCCACGCTTCCGTACAATGTCAGGAACGGCTCGGGAGCGGTGACAGAAATCCACCCCTCCGTGTCCCACACTGCGTGAGGCCCCGCAATCCCCGGCCCGGCTTTACCCAGCGCTCCCGCAGCTCCGCGCCGGCCCCGCTCGGCTGTGGGCTCCCCCAGCGGTACCTGGCAGCGGCGCCGGCCGAAGCGCCGGTCCCCGATCCCGGCACATCGCGGCCCCAGGCCTCCCTCTCGCTCGTCTAGCGGCTCAGCTGCCGCCCGGGCCAGAAGAGCGGCGCTCTGCGCTCCTCGGGACTTGTAGTCTTGTCCGTCCGCTTCTCGCCGCGCCTCTGCGACGCTGGGACTACAATTCCCAGCAGCCCTTTCGGCAGAGCGGTGATTGGCGCTCCCGCAGTCACTCCTCACTACAATCACTGTTACTACTGGCTTCTCCTGACTCCCCGCGGGAGCCAATCGGGAGACAGCAGACCACGCCTCGGGCCACGCTGCGCCGCGCGGCGCCATTGGAGAGAGGAAAAACGTCGACCAATAAGCGTTGGGAGAGGCGGGCCGGCGATCACCTCAGCTGCTCGGGATTGGTTGGATCCACAGGCATCCTGACCAATAGCGGCGGCGGGGTATGTATAAATTCTACAGCAAGCGCATGTTTTGGCCTTTCCAGGCTGGAGGTGAGTGTGGCTGCAGTGAGCTGCGAGCGGGCGCTGCGAGGCGGGGCGAGCCGGGGATGATTTCTGCTTTTCTGACACCTCGTCTGAGGGCGGCGGGCGGCCGCGGCCACTGCTGACGCTTTACGGCTGAGGCTCGCGGCCCCGCGGTGGGGCTGGGCCGGGCGGTGCGGCTCGCTCTCACCGCGCTGCTTTTTCTCTTTCAGGACCTGCCGGGATTCGAATCGCAGCGGCGTGAGGGGCAGCGAGAGCCTGGGCTGCTTCCCTTAGCGCCCGGCACGCTTCCCGCGGTGGACGCGTGCGGCGGTGCGGAGCGCAAGTGCGGGGAAGCGAGGGCTGAGCGCCGGGGGGCCGCACCGCTCGGCGGCCTCCGTGTTTCCACCGGAGCTCCTGTACCGGGCTGACTATAGCTTACAGATTCAATAAAGCTTTCAGAAGACTTGAAGTTTTGCTTCTGTTCCTTTTATGCGTCACAAGGGAAACTACAGACCGATTGTACTTCTGGCTCTGGGCACACAGTGAACTTCGCTACTTAAATGATTAACCAAGTGGGGTATGTGCCACAATAGCCAAAGCACCACCGTAGCCACGGAGATTATTAAAAAAATTTATTAACAGGAATGAAATAAAAGCTATAAACGAGCCAGCGCGAATGAGAAGTGCAAGTAATGCCGCGTTGTCTGGCCTGCGTGGTGCACTGAGTACTGCTCCATCGCTGGGCGGCAGTCGAGGCCCGTGTATAAAATGGCCGAATCTGAACAAGGGCTTCAGCAGCGGCGCTGCGTGCAGGCATTGGGAGCGAGTAGAGCGTGGGCAGTCTGTGGTGGGACAGAGGGGGAGTTGCGCCTCGTCGAAGCTTAGGTGTGTTAGGAAAGGCCACAAGTACAGTTGTGATGTTTATGCTGGTTGCTTAGGTGCCAAAAGGTACCTTCAAGGAGTAGCATTTGCATCTCCTCTACTTCACTTTTTTTTTTTTTTTTAGCTTGCTTTTGGTTCCCCCAATAAAGAACCAAGCCAGTAACTGCCAGCTTTTTCATCAAGGTACAAGGCGTTCCTGCCCAGAGAAGGGGGGAGTGTCTGCAGGGATTAGCAGCATGGGGCAGGGACTGCTGTTACTGCTATGATTATTCTGAGAAAATACAATCCCGAAGGCAGGCTTGGGAACGGATCTGGGTGTTGGAGCTGCCTGTCTCCTGTGCCTCTGTGGAAATTCCCAGGAGCTGTACAGCCAGGATACCAAAATGCTGCTCCTTCAGGCTGAGGGCTGTAAAAAATTCCACTCTTTTTTTTTTTTTTTTTTTTTAACCTCAGCTAGCAAGCATGTGCTACAGCCCAGAATGAGAATGAAGGTAGCTGTTAAGCAGCATCATGAGAGGTACTGATCAGGTAGCAGCTGCAGGAGCACAACAAAGCTCAACAAAGCAGCACAAAGCAGTTCAGTAGGTTTCCACTCCTTCATAAAGTCTGATCAGAGTGCAGGGCAGCTGCAGTGATGCTCGGAGGCTGCCTCTGCTGAGGCTAGACAGGACAGGGCGATTGCTAGGGAAGGAGTGACTGACAGGGCTGATGAGAAAAAAGAGGCCCTGGCTCTGTTCCCCAGGTCCTGTGTGCTGGCTGCCAGCAGGGAGCAGGCACTGCCTGGGGATGCATGGTGGCAGGAGGCTGCGAGCTGCAAACATCCCCCAGGAACAGGTTTTTAACAAAAATAAGAGAACTGAAAGACATTTCTCCCTAAAAAGCTATTTATGAAAAGTTTTATTTTGGGCTCTGTTATTACTGTGCTGGACCCGTTTCAGCAGTTGCTCTGCACGTTGCTTATTTTACTGCAGCTCACTGAGAAGTGCAGCTCCGAGGGGTCTCCTCTGTCACTGCCTGCCTGGCTCCTGTGCTGAGTGCCCTTTGGAAATGCTGCTGCAGCTCAAGCTGGCACAATGAGGGGCAGCTGCACCCCGACTCACTGCTGAGAAAGCTGGTGTTTGGGAAGTGAAGGGTGGGTTGACTTCAGTGGTCCATTTAGAGCAGTGCAGGGAGGTTCAATGCAGTGGGCACCTGGTGTTAGTGCATGTGGAATTGCTGAATAAGAAAATTGCCAAAGGCCAAACACATCATCCAGATCTGTACTTTGAAGTGCAACTTGGAAAAAAGCAAAAGCCAAACGCTTGGCACCAGACAAAAGGGGTGAGGAGTCCATTGAAGAGAGCTGGCAGAAGTCTTAGACCTGTACAATCAATGCCTACAGCACTCTCATCTTTCTTCTGTTAGAAGAGAGAGCTGTCCCAAGAGAACTTCAGAGATAGCAAAGCATTGTTGTGGTCTAAAAATGCTATCACACTTACATAAAGGTATTTAGAATAAGCTGCAGAACATTAGCTTTCTTCTCATTAAAGTACTAGAAATGGCTGTAGTAAGAGAACCAAAGCCTTTACCAAACAGATAAACAGTCAGATCTCTGTACAACAGATGTGTTTGCAGGAGCTCACTCAAACAGACATCTAAGCTCTGTCTTCTGCGGGGAAGAGGAGAAATCTTCATCGAGGAGGTATGTTACAACACGGGAACAACTGACAGGCAGAAGTAAGCAGCTACAAAAATGATTGCCTTGAAAACAAAGCCTTCCTGTGTGCCCCAGAATCTGAACAGCTGAATTCCAAAGGTGTGGGAAAAGGGAATTCAGGATTTTTTCTGCCCAGATGTTTGGTGGGGAGCAGGCACTCCCCCACATCATCACTCCTAACACTAACACACCCGAAGACGCTCTGGGCTAAGGACTGTCACTGCTGAACAGATGCAGGAACCCATCGTTCCAGGAGCCACAGCTGCACTGGGAAGTGGCTCTGGGCAAGGCAGGAGTGGAGCAGCTGCGAGAGGTGCTGTTTCTCTGCAGGATTGGAGCACAGCGGGGCTGTGGGTGCTGCAGGGCTCGGGGAGCGGCTGTGGTGCAGCACGGCCAGCCTGTTGCCAGCCTGAGGAGCTTCTGCTGCTTTCACCCCCACGTCTCAGCTCACCTTTTACGCAGATACAGACACAAGACAGACATGCACACACTGTCCACGAGGAGAGAGCGCACAAACACGTGGCATGAGTCTCTGTACAAATGCACCGAGCGTATCAGAACCTGCAGCAGCCCGAGCCTCTCACTTCTTTCTTCACGTAATCATGGAGCTTGAATTTGGGTTCGTTGGGCAGCTTCATGGACCTGTGTTTCAGTTCTCTGCAGGAAGGGGAAAGCACTTTACTTCTCTGCCCATACAGCCTGCTACCAAGCTGTGTGACACCAGCCCCTTCACAGTGACTGGTGCTGCATGCCGTCCTCCCCACAGCCAGAACCCCCCCCTTACTTTGCGATAGCTGTGAATGCTAATTCCACATTGAGGCCGCTTTTGGCGCTGGTCTCCATGAAGGGCACCCCGTACTCCTGCAGGACAAGACAGCATTTGTACAGAGCTTCAGAAGAAATGTGAAGACATCGAACCAAGGAGGGCAGCGGAGGGTTAAGGGATGAGCAGATGAGGGAGAAGAGAGGGAGACAAAGGATGAAACCCACTCTGCAGTTATCCCTATGGCTTCTGTGCTGCCTGCCCAATCTGAGCATAACAAATACCCACATGCAGCAAAGAGTACCTCCCATACCTTAGCCAATTTTTCTCCATCTTCCCTTTTCACCACTCTGTCCTGGGCTGAATCCACCTGCCAACAGCAAAAGAACAAAGGGAGATTATTTGGAAGCTCAGCATTAGATAAGCCCCATACCCCAAGAATTCCGTCCCATCAGCATAAGCAGCAATGCCCTGGCAGCAAGAGGGATCTGGGACTCAGATCCACAGGGTGAGCACAAGACACTGCTTCATCTCCACACCTCAATTCAATGCAGCATCCCTGGGAGAGACTCTGCAGATCATCAGCATGCAGAGCAGGAGTCAGCTTTGCGCACCAGGAGGGAGATGGGCAGGACCACGGCTTTGGTGATGACTGCATCCCTCCCTGGGACATGTGGTCACTTTCTGCGCCTCTGCTGCCCCAAAACCTGCAGCTGCATGGCTGCACTGCACCCACCCCTGCCCACATCCCTAGCATCCTGGCAGGACTAGCTCCATGGGTCCAACTCACCTTGTTTCCCAGTAACATGAGGACTACATCCTGCTGTGCATATTCGTGGATCTCTGTCAGCCATGCCTGGAGGGACACAAGCAGAGATGGGCTGCAGTGAGATGGGCTTCAGAAATAGGAAGAGTCAGCTGGGGTTGCCCAGCCCTGGGCACCAGGTGCCATGTGTGGGGAACCTGTGGGTCTGCAGGGAATGAGGGACAGTGGGATGTGGTCCTCTCCTCTGCCCGGGTCTGCTGCCAAGGCAGTGGGGCAACATGGGGACGCATTGCAGCAGAGTGGGGACAAGGGAGCACCTCGCTGCTGGCATTTGCTGCCCCTGATCACCAGGAGCAAGCTATCCACCTGGTGCTGTAATTACACGTGGCATAAATCTGTCACTGAACCCAGTCCATCGACCTTTCTGGTTGCCAGGAAAGTGAAAATGTTCTCTGCGTGTCCTCCGGCATCTTCATCAGCAGCCCCTCAGCAGCTGCCAGCTGGGCACACGGCACTGACTGCAGCCCTTTGGGAATGCCCACAGCTCGCACAGCTGCCGTGCACCTCCCACAGTGCCACCTCCCACAGTACCACCTCTGCTGTGGGGCAGCACCAGCCACAGCTCCTTCCAGCTTTCTTTTTCCCCAGGCTCCCTGAACCCCATTCATCTCCAGCACAGAGCATCGTGAAGGCTGCCAAACCTCCATGCCACCTGCAGCCAATGACCACGGGTTTGCTCTGAGCACCAGCTGGAGATTCAGGGCTTAGGGAGCAACAATAGCACCCCAGAAACACGCAGAGCTGCCCGAAGCCATCAGGAGCAGTCTGGGAGGTGCCGCACATACCTGGATGTTGTCAAAGGATGCCTTGTTGGTGACATCATACAGCAGGAGCAGGGCTGTGGAGAGAGTGGTAGGTGTTAGTGCTGGCACCATGCTGTGCTCCCCAAGCCCCCCAGCCCTGCTGGGGATGTGCTCACCATGGGCATCCCGATAATACGCGTGTGTGACACTGCGGAAGCGCTCCTGGCCAGCCGTGTCCCAGATCTGCAAGGCAGAGGAGAGAGGTGAAAGCATCATGCCACCACTCACAGGATGGAAAAAGCACATGACCATAGCACACTGCAACCCCACAAAGTTTTTTCAGCATTTTGCTTCTAACAGCAACCCAGGGGCTGATCTATTTGCACATGAGCAGTTTGCAGCTGCAGAGGAGCTCGCTGAGGATGGTGAGAAGTGACAAGTGCAATAAATACGTAAGCAGCACATCCCTGTTCCTCAGCACATCCGACCGCAGGGACATGGGTGTGTGACAAAGGGCTCGTGAGCTCCATTGGAAATCGACCAGCAGAAGGATGCACAGGGACTGTGCACTGAACTGATCCGGTTTTAGCACAGCGATGTTTCCAGAGCACTGAGCTGCTATCAGGGGAAGGTGGGCACTATTGGCATCGCTGGGCTGCACATGTACACATGTGCACATCCATATGCCAACACAGCTGGCGAAGTGGGGACACACACGATGGCAGCTTCCAAACATGGGACAGAGATTGGACTCTTGGGGCTGTCCCCAGCCCTGGAGCTCCGAGGGGCTTTACCACACCTGAACACTGTAAGCACAGCTCCAGGGACTCACCTGCAGCTTCACCTTCACCCCATCCACTGTCAGCACCTTGTTCTGCAAGACAAGACAAAAGAGAAGCAGCGCTGAGGCGGGGAGCTGCTGCCCCACACCAACTCTGCCAGTGCATTGCTGATATTCTCTCCCCATTTTTTAAACTTGCACATCGCAGCCCAAATTGTTGGAGCAATTTGTATTTGCACAGCGAGAAGATCATTTCCTGTGTTTGCTGCAAGTTACATCTATTTGGATATTTAAATCTTTGTGTCTGCAATGCTGATTTAATGTGGTGTGTGGCTCGGGCTGGATCACCTCCGGCAATAAATTAACGAGTGCCAGCATCCCATCTTAGCAGCCTTCAAAAGGCACAGCAAGCGACTCCATATTCAGTTAGCAACTTACACAGATCTCCTTTTCCTGCTGCTTTTACTTGTTGTTCTCCCAGCAAGGACTGAGCTCCGTCCCCACAGCCATCTGTGGTGAGGTGATGCCCGCTGTGCCCCAGCTGGGGTCTGGCATGGTGCTGGGTGCCCTCTTCCTGCATAAACAACTGCAAATAATGATCCAGCAGCTCCCACAACACCACCAGGATGCTCAGCAAATTAATTGGCCCCAACAGCGATTGCTTTGTGGACCGACTCCAAGGTGAGCCAAGAGTTGTCACCATGTGATGTGCAGCAGCAGCGCCTGACCAGGCAGGCACAGGACACACAGATATCCCTGGCACCACCAACCACAGTTTTCCTATTTGATGCCATGAACTCCCAGACAGATCCAGGACTGCAGCAGCAAAGCATCACCAGCACCCTGGATGCTGATTTTCAGAGCCCCACTGAAGCCAGCAGAGTTGTAGGATAGGCACAGTGAGGCACTCAGCATCCCCAGTGTGTTAACCAAACCCAATCCTAAACATAAAGCAGTCCCACAGCTAGGAGCAGAATTCCACAGAAATTAGCACAGTAATCACCGGAGTATGATTAAAAAAGCCCCAAGCAATGACGGGGCCAGGTGGGATGCTGGTTGCACCTGCTGTGATGCCAATCCCATTGCTTTCCATTAGAGCATGGCCATGAGGATGCGGATGAGGAGGATGGCGTGGAGCAAAAAAGCACGCTAAATTTACACTGTCTGCTGAAGCCAGCGCAGGGAGATGAACATGGTTTATAAATACCTTCAAAAGCAGTGATGAGATGAGGGAGAGGAGTGACTCACAGCCCAGGAGTGGAAGAAGTGGGCAGCCTGGCTGTGGCTGCAGAGGGGAAAGCGAAAGGGAAAGGCAAAGGGAAAGGGAAAGGTGCACAGCTGGAGCTGCTGATGGATCTGCTGCATCACAGCTTCAAGCAGCAGCAATGTGAACACCTAGCCCAGCCTGGAGCTGCTGCTTTCCTAACAAAGCATCAGAACATTTGCAGTTTGCCTTGATAGGATGTAGAATACCTTGCAATAATTGCACATTATTTTTCCAAGATATCTGTTCATTTCTTCGTTGTAATCAGCCAGCTCTCACTAAATATTTCATAGATTTATGCTCATTGCTCGACAAAAGGTAAACATTTGCCAGCAGCCACAGGTGATTTCCTGCAGGCGACAGCTTGCAGCTGCCCACAGCAGGACGGCTTGGGGACCTGCAGAGCACTGCCCTGTAGCACAGCTCAGGCTGATACCCATATCCCAGCCATGCTGCAGACAATAGCTGTGCCTGGCACCGAGCAGTGGGGGGCAGCAGCCAGGGTGCATGTGGCAGCTCCTCGACCCTCTGCTCGGTGCACGATGCCCAGAGCACAGCTGTGGGTTTGGAGCACAACAGGCAGTGGCTGTACTGCAAACCTCACCCCACAAACCTCACTCTGCAAACCACCTTCTGAGTGCTGACACCTCGTTTAGTACCTGTTCTTTGGAAGAGCTTAATTAAAAGCAAGAGAGCAGCAGCAGGATTCACACTAATTACAACTGCCCTACATTTTGGGTTAGGGGAGGATTCTTAAGCTTAATTACCATCTGGAAGAGCAGCAGGGAGCTGTGCATCGAGGTGCTGCTGGGGCAGGCTGGGGAAAATGGATGAATCTGCGAGGCTGCAGTATGAAGCTGATACTTTTGGTCACCCACTGCAGGACATACTCAGGACAAGTGAGGGAGCACTGCGCTCGAGCACAGGCTCACACAGCGCACTATAGCAGACGTAATGCTTGCAGCAAAGCTGTCCATGCAACTGATCTCTGCTGTCGCTCTCTGCATGTTCAGGAAAGCAGTTCTTGCACAGCTTCTCACACAGGCTTTGACAGTGCTGTCAAAGCATTTTCTAGCAGAGCTTACAGTGTGGAACACTCTGAGAGTTGCTGCTGCAGGAACAAGAGGTTTGTAAGTGAAATTGTCCTCAAGACATCAGATAAATAAAGCTGGAGCCTCACAGATGCAGGGGCAATGCTATTATCATGCAGACAGACCTCAGTGATGGGCAGCATCACCCACCCAGCGCTGCCATTGGGAAGCAGAGGAAGGGAAGACTCACAGGTTGCTCCCCACAGCCTACTGCTCTCCAACATTGTGCTTGCAGCTGCTGCTGGGGCATTGCCCGTGGAAGGATGTCCCACTGGGAGCCACATGCATTGCCTACCACGGCCGGAGCACCAACTCGTGGTCAGTTATCGCATGGACAACCCAACCCAGTGTTCTCTGCCTCCCTGCAGCTTTTCTGCACGTTTGCTCATTAATTAATTAAAGCCTTAAGCGTTCAGTTGGATACATGGATTAACTCGCTTCACAGTTAAACTTGACAAATCAAAATCAGTGCAGCTCTCCAGCATGGGGAGGGGGAGAGCCCCCTCTGGTTCCCCCAGCACATCCAAGGGCTCAGGGTAACCCAACCACAGCATCGCCTCCATGCACAGCGATGGTACAGGGACACCAATGGCACAGGGAGACTCAGGGATGGGGACGTGGTCACTCCCTGAGAACCCCACTGCAGGGGCAGGCACTGAGCCCAGCCCGCAGCTGGGACTTTAACCACAGGGTGGACACTACAGCCACCCCTGCATTGAGGCTGGAACAGAATGGCACCAAATGCCTTCAGTGCACAGACCCCAAATTCCTCCCCCAGCACAGACACCCCACAGTCAAGCAGGAGTGCACCTACAGACAGACACACACACATTGTCTGTGAGAACAGCGATGGAAATGGATGAAGGATCAATATGGAAAGCTGCCCAGAGCAGCAGGACACCACAATTTGCTCATTAAAACCCTGGAGTTTCCCCAGGGAATACACACGTGCTGCCAGCGAGCTCAGCAACTCCAGCCACAGCAGCCCGGCCTGGGGCAGCACAGATGCTCTAAGAACAGCCCTCCAGAATTCAAGAAGCCTCAGTGGGTGGATAGGGAAAAGGAAAAAATCCAATCTCTGCTCACTTGCAGCCCAGGACGGCAGTTTTGCCACATTCTGGCATGCAGCTCACACTGATAACACAGCACTGAGCTAGGGCTGAGCACAGGATGCTTTAAGGGAGGAAAGGTCCCAGGTGAGAATGCATCCCATACCAGAACTGCTGTCACCATGGCCCTGAGCATCCCTCAACCCCAAAGCATCCCTCGGCCCCGCTCAGGGCCAGCCCTGCAAGTCAGCTAACTGTAAACCTCCTGTGGTGTCTGATGGGGGAAACACAGCAAGAGTGCAGCAGGCAAACACTGCTCATGGATCTGAAATCAACATCTAAACAAATACTGAAGTTCCAACAACTGCAAACAGACACTGGAGTAGCACAAGCACTGCTGAACCCTTGCTACAGCTTCACATGAGCCCTCAGAATGATGCCAAGTTGGTGTCTCCACGTTGAAGAGCAGCAGACAGGCATAGAACCAGGCAGTACCTAACACCCAGCACAGCACAGGGAAGGAGCCCACCTGCCCCTCTCCTCCAGGGCCACGCACACTGCATTAAAGTGCAATTAGCATCTCCCTGGCTGCCAGCCCCACAGCAGATAAGAGTCAATCCTCTTTTTAGAGCAGATACACCAAAGAATTAGGGGCTTATCAGCTTTTATTCACATCAGTCTGCACATAAAAGGTTTTTCTGGCAAGAAGCAGAGAGACACGTCTCAGGGGCAGATTAGGGGTAAGAGGATCTGTTGAGGATCATAGATTTTACAGTAAGGCCCTGCTCTGCTCCTCAGCATCCTCCCCCAGAGCCTCCCCCATCCCAGCCCAGCAGTGCCCATTTTTAAGATAGCCATGCTGACTTCCCAACCAGGAGCCTTGGAAACAAAAGGGTAGAGATGGCTCACGCCAATCTGTGCCAACACTGGGGATAAGTAACATGGTGCTCAGCGTATTTATCTTCATTTTCCTTACCAACAACACAGCATGCTGCAAAGCAGAACAGGAATCTCCACAGCACATTTATTGTGGCATCTATTCTCACGTACAACATACACAGCACCTGTCAGTGCTATGAGGATGAAAAATGGGTCATCAATTATCGCTGTACAGGGAATTGTTTGCTCTGCTCCTGAGGGAAAACAAAACCTTGCATCAGTTTTTATGCTAGAGAAGCATCAGAAATGAAACAATCTGCTTTGTTCAGCTTGCTCTACAACAGCCACAGGGTGGGGAGCAGCCCTGATTGTAGTCCCAGTCCTTGGATCAGGGTCCTGGGAGTTCCACCTGAGCCCTGCAGCCTTGGGGCTGCACTGACCTTGTGTGGCCGCTGCTGCAGGACTGTGCCTTCCTCCAGTGCAGGGGATGTGCCTCAGCTCAATGGAGATGTGCCCAAAGAAGGCCCCCTGGCTCCATCCACCACGGCATGCAATTAGCAGGGTCTGTAATTACAGCTGGAGGTGCAGCCAGGCTTCTTTCTATCTGGCACCCAAAAGGATGGAAACCTGCCTGAAGTTTCAGAGATGACTTTGCAATCTAATTAAAGGAAATAAGGAAAGAATCCTGGCAGCATCTGGCAGTAACGGAGCATCTTCTGCAGACAACACTGCAAACAGCATCATTAAATAGCACTTCTCATCCCTAAAAAAAAAAAATAATAATAATTCCACAGATCTGACAAATGGATC